TACTCGATTAATGCGTGAACCTCAAATATTTAGTTTTTTTCCTCTGTTCGGGACCTAACCGATCGATTGTAGAATATCGCGTGTCCTTAGTTTAGTGCATGTTGTATCACTCCATCACTATTGACAAATGATGAAGTATTCGATTTTTTTACAGTTGTCATTTCCGCATTTATCGCAAGGATCCGACTCTTATTGAAAGGTTCCGCTATTTATACCCTTCGGAGTGTTGAAAACAGGCTTGATGAAACTCCTCAAACTCACTGGAGGTTTTAAAACACTCTTGTCCTGCGAGTTTAGCCAGCCCTCACCTCGAGTGAGTGGCGGCAGGAATATGGAAGAAGTAAACAAAAACTCCTCGAGAGAAAGGGTGTGTGAACTTCAGCGAGAGGATGATTTGACGTTAAGTGCGCTTTTCGAGACTCCGGATGACTTTTTTGTTCAAAGCAAGAAGCTCGGAGTTCACAGAGTGAGAGTAAGAGCGAGCGATTGAAAACTTAAACATGAATGGCAGCAAACCTTACTCTCATGTTATCCCCCTTCGCTCACAAGCTCTGAAGCTCAGTGGAATGATTTGGCAGTAGGCATTCTACTCCTCGGAAAAATGCTACGCTTGGCTCATTTCAAACTTGCGAGTGAGGCTCCATCAAGCCTGGTTGAAACACCCTCCAAAATTTGATTCCTTAGCAACAAAATTATCACACCGATAATGACCATGCATCAGAACCCTAGTCTTAACCACTTCAAACTAGAGAACAAGGAATAGAAGATTAGGAATCACATTGATGAAGACTAACTAACTCATTTTTCCTTGTTTCAAGATTATCCTCGGTAGACAAAACCGAGTCTTGTCACTATCAACAAGGCATAAAAAGTAACAAGGACTAAGATGTGTTCCTTGGATTACTGAAAAATACTGTTCCCCTAGTTTGAAGTAGTCAGGGCAAGGAATCGGTGGTAGACCTTATATCCCGTAACGTACCACGAAGAGGTGATCTACCCACGTTACGGGACAAAATATTTAGTTAAAGAAATCAGAAACTTCATAAGCAATAAGAAGACAACATTGAAATTATGATGGCTGTATCGGAAATACATTTAATAAGTGATTTTTCAATCAGACAAAAAACAAGAAAATTGAAAATATTTAACAGATACTATAAAAAAACTCTATATGATACCAAAAGTAATAACCTCAGCTACAAAAGGGAACCAATGTTTCCAATTCGGAAATAGTACAGAGAGTAAATTTAATCATTATATTCTACTATCAAAGTTACCCGCATTATCAAAGATACCCCGTTTTACGGTACACATAAGTTTGCATTTTTTTTTTTCAATTCTTCGACTGGTGGTTCAACTTCGAAGAAACAGTTAGAAACTAACCATTATAAAAAAAAACTTACAAGTGTTATTGACTTGCCAAGCATCATGCTATTATGTCAAATTAAATGCAACTAGCACCTTTAGAAAACGAACCAAACCAACGCATCGAATCTGCATGTTCGTAACTGGCACGTGGAAAAACTTGTCGCCGACCGATGTATGACGTTAACAGCAACTACCTTCGCAAGTTTCAGTTTCAACTCCTCACGTGTAGCTTGCAAAATGACAAACGTGAATTCCCTTCTTGCAACGCTCTTCTATAAAGTGAATGAAACCTATTATCTTTCTGCAAAGGTTATTCTCCGTCCGTCGTCGTCAGGCAAGTGGAAAGAATTGCAACTACAATGAAAAAAAGAAACACTAAACATAAATGGAAATGAAGCCACGAAACTCATCCCCAAAGCATTTAAAATTTATTATAAATCATATCAACAACGAGATTATCACTTTTCACACCCCTTTCCTGTGCTCTTGATTCCTTCGACCGGGTCGTCGCCGTCGTCGTCGTCGTCTATAGATACCGATTTCTTTGAAAAAGTGCTTGAATTGTGGAATGAGAAAAGTTGAAAAACGAATCTCCCGCTTCTCTTCGGAAGAAGGAGTGCATCTCCTCAGAGCCGAACTCAACGAACTCAGAGTCTCAGTCTTAGTGCCAGTGAACAGGACGAAAGCAAGAAGAAGAAGGCGGTCGATGGCCTCCCGTCCCCGTCGCTATACCAGTACTCGTGTGGTTGGAGTTTTCTTTATTTGTGTGATCGGTACTGACTCTTGCCGGTCCCGAATGAGAGTGCACGTAAAAGAGATAATCAAATTTAGTGTTGTTTTGTCCGAAGCTGTAAGATTTGGTGATTTTCATTCGAAAATGTAAGATTCCATTACAGTTTTGCAAGAACCTTGTACAAAATCAGTCATAACAGCATTCCGCCTGTAAGTAGATGCAGCAAATTTACGTGACCAACATTCGAAGTGGTACCCTAAAAAATATGCAGAGAAAACTTCACGATCCGAGAAAAGGATCACCGGCCTCGGTCGGCCTTTGTAGTGCAGTGCAGTGCAAAGTGTGTTGTTTTTGTTTGGCCTCTTTCTTTTTCAGGGTTTCGATGTCGAAGCGAAGCGCAAAAACTCGAATGAAGAAAAATGCGAAAAAAGACAGAGAGAGATGGAGAGAGAGAGAGAGAGAGAGAGAGAGAGAGAGAGAGAGAGAGAGAGAGAGAGAGAGAGAGAGAGAGAGAGAGAGAGCGAAGCAGCATAAAATGTATGTCTGACAGCAGCTCTCGTAGCAGCTTGGTTGATGATCCCATCCCAGTTGGCTGGAAGAATATAAGAGGGGGTGGGGGAGGTGGTAATCAAAACCAAGGCACGAGGCAGACGATACGTGATTTACAGCGGCAGCTTCTTCTGAGGCATATAAGAAGCAGCAGCAATCACAAGCCGAAGAAAATTATCCTTTGTTATTATTTTTGCAAGCGGACAAGTCACGCAAAGTGTTGCATTTTTTGTTTGTCTTATTTGTATGCTTACATAGTAGGTATTGCGTTTTTCGAGAGGGTCATCGTACGACGCGTGCTGAATAGAATTACACTATTCGAAACACCGAAATTAACGCGTTTCGTAGGATAATAACAGATATGCGACCGGATCGGAAATTTCGTGAAATCGGGCGACTTGTTCCGGAGATATGGGTGGAACATTAGACTGATGTAAAATTTGAAATTTTCGCTCCACACTCAAACGGTTCCAAATCGGGTCCTGAGTAGCCTCCAAAAATTTGAACTCATTTGGTAAGGAACTGACTTGAAAACTTTTTGATCATTGTTGCTAGCCATAAGAAATACAAGACCCAAAATGGCTGAATTTGAGCAAAAATGTGAATGATCGCCCATTAGAAGAAACTTTGCAAAGTTTCATAAAAATTTGAGAAGATCGAATCAAACATTTATTTTTTGCAATTTGGCCAGCAACTGCTCATCCGAGGATTCATAGTCGGAGTCGGTCGATTTAGATCCGACTTTACAATCCTGAACCACATTAGATGAAAAGAATTAGGTTAGGATGGATTATCTGCATAAGCACATATTGAAAATGATCTTTTCCACCCAAATTTCCGCATTATTATAATTAAAAAAAAGCCCAACCGAAACAACCGGACTTGAACCAAACGCCTGTGGCGGCAATTCAAGCACATCCACAGTCCCATATAACTTGCCACCGCCGCGCCGCCGTCGTCGTCGGACCCTGTGTTGCTCCGTAACGAGCAGGAACGAGAGCCGTGAACGAAGATATAATAACGAAAAATCTGTTATTAAATCTTAAATTACAATCATTCACCATATTTGATAACCGTCTGCCTTCATGAGCTGTTAGTTTTAGTAGGGAGGTCGGTCGGAATACACTTCCTCGTCTCTCGTTCTCGACTGGAACTGGAACTGAGGCGGCATGCTATTCGTTCCCGCGAAAGAGGGGAAGATGACGGAAGACGAACGCGAATAAAGTTATATATATAGCTCCGATTGGCTTATGGTGTAATTTAAGGAGCACGACCGGACGGGGCTGAATCCAGTTTCGTTCGCCTCTGCTAGGCGCTCGGAAATGCAACTCGGATCGGATTAGAACAGCTTCTGCCCATTTGTAGCAGGTATGCTCCGTTTGGTTTTGTTTTTTTCATTTCTAGACTAACATTTGAAAAGGGCATAACTCCAAAATGTAAACAAACTATATTTCGCCACATATAGAGAGAACAGTTCACAAACTACACGATAAACAGGAAAAATTTGAAGAAAATATCGCTTCAAATCACCGAAAACGTTTCTTCTTACATGGCGTATTTCCAACTTTCAACTCTATGATGCATCTGGTTGTTACGTCTTGCACCAGAACTACGAATGATATTGTTTTAATATGCCAAACGTACTGATTCTGTAGTATCTAGTCACGCCCGATTCATTTGAAATGCATCCGATTGATATTTCACGTGTAAACAACGAACAAAAAGAAGACCAACAAAATCTCAAGGCGGAACAGCGAACACAAAATCCCGAGGGTGTATTTCCACAGCGTATCACCAGTGTTGGCAGTTCAAAGGATGGAAGATCCGGGGGGTAACAACATGTAGGGCGTATGATGGTTTCTTCTCAATTTCACGACAAAGAAAACTTTTTTTGAGTTTTTAGTTATGCATGATGATAGATTACACTATTAACTATATTTCAAGCTTATAAAATCATCCAGAAAATGGAAAGTCGTGAAAAAGGATTAATGTTTAGGTCATCAAAATTCGGAAGCGATTTTCTCGATTAGGTCATTTTGGAGTTACGCCCTTTTCAAATGTTAGTCTAGATTTGAGCATTACAACCCCCTTCCTTTTCATGGTTATTGCGTCCCAACTGGACATTTACGCTGCTCTTTGAGTACTGCCACAGTTAATTGAAAGCTTTATACGTTTGTAACATTTTTGCATTCGTAACACACTATATCCTGGACCGGACCGGGAATTGTACCGGCTGCCCACGGCATGGTTTTGGCTTTCTAGATATGCGGGAACGCGAAGAAGTGACTCACATTTCCTCTACATCCATGCAGACGACAATAATAGACAGAAAAGAGAGGTGTCGACTTACCGTACTGCTTGCTTGAAAGCGCTGAATGCAACCGTTCCTCGACGATCGCCGAATGAGTCAATCTCGGGGTATGTGTAGAAGGTATCCAAATAAATCGCACATGCCTAAATCTTACCACTTTTCACACACTTCTTCAGATCGCACGCGATTCGAATCTCATCGAAGGTCAGCACTTTCGCGATTGTGTGTTTTTTTTTTCGCTTTTATTCTTGTGAATCTTTTCTCGAAATCACCGAACCGAACGACGAGTCACTGTAACAGACGAGTTTTCACTCACCACTGTGTAGTAGCACTGTGTGTATTTCAGCCGGTTTCACCGATAACCCGTACTCGGGGAAAACTGCGTGAAAATTACTGCCGGGCTGAAATGAAAAGAGAAGAAAACAAAGAACTCGATTGGAATAAAATCAAACAACAGTACAGCACAGCACAACGTAGACCCGTCAATTTGCGGTCGAACCTTGTTGTGTCGATCACTTGAGGTTTGGGGCGAAAAAAGTGGAACAGGCTTACCTACATTCAGAACACGGAATGCGTCACTTATATCGAAGACAACGTAGGCAAGGAAACTGGTAAACGGCTCTGATGATTTCTTGATAGAAACGGTAATACGTTCATTTCAAGGAGGTGGAATAAGTGTCCCACGGTCTATTAGGATTGCATAGAACATTGGACAGTTATGAGCAACTGAAAACACTGTCGAAGGAAATTATATCTGTAACTGTAACCAGTTTGGTTTTGTTTGCTAATCTGATTAATATGTTAAAACTTAATGAAAGGCTGACTAAAAGTAAATTGGTACGCCCCTCGCGCGCCGCTAGCACGCCTCTAGTGTTGGGAATCGACAATCTTTGAGTGGTTTGTTTACACTTCTATAGAGAACAACTGGTGCAAGTTTGATCAAAGTATTCGATTGCGTGCAGAAATAACGTCAAATGGAACTCGAAAGAAGAAAAAATATTGTCCAATAACAAGCTGGCTAAAGTGCTGAAGATGCCGAAAACAACAGTTTGCCGAGTGCTCAAAACCCTGAGTGTGGAAAGGAATCAGCAGACCTACGAAAAAACTGGAACCAGGGATCGTCAGCTGTGCAGCAAGGTGTTGAGGTGCGTTAAAGCCAACCCCGGTCTTTCGGTCCGAGATGTGGCCAGAAGTTACAACGCCAACTTTCAAATGGTGCGGAACATCCTTGCCAGGGAAGGATACAAGTCGTACAAAGCCAGTAAACATCCGAACCGGCACATGAAGCAGAATTCCGTTGCCAAAAAGCGTGCAAGGCTCTTGTACAGGGCTGGTAGCGATCAATGCTGTCAAAAAGAGTGATTTTAGTGACCACGTTGAAGAAATAAGTGACAAAATAGTGACTTATAGTTGTAAAAAAGTGACTTAAGGGAAGAAAATTAGTCGTTCTGATGGCATACCAAATAAATGTTTTATGTTTTAGACTTATTCAATTAGATTCTCATCAACACTTAAATGTGTACGATAGGAACCGAAAGATCAAATAGAAAGTTTATGACTAAACATCCAAGCTTCTACTACCTGTAAAAAACATGAAAAACCAGGAATTCGCAGCGAATTTTATTTTTCGTGGAAATACCTGGATGTATAAGGGAATCTTATCATTTCTCAGGAAATTTAACAATTTTCTTACTAAGAATGCATTTTAAAATAAAAACATTTTATATTCCTAGTTATTTTCATTCACCCATCGAACTTTATAGATCCAGAATGGAGTAATCTTCAGTAACAAATACATAAATTTATAAATTCTGAACTTAACAGTTATAATACGTCAAGAAGTTTTCAAGAATCTGGAGTCAAATTCCTTGCACATTATAATTTCTAAGGACCTCATTCCACGGGAGTTCTGAGAAAAAAAATCTATAAGAAAAACATCAACTGCAATCTGCTTTCATGGTACTTCTGAGGAATTTTAGACTTCATATGAAGCTTAAGCTTAAGATAGTAAACTCCATCCGAATTCTGATGAGAAATTTTCCGTTGAATATGGAATGGACTAATATGAGGTTCATACTTACTTGAAAGTTCCCAATATATTCCTGAATTTGATTAAACTGTCTTGAAGTTCTTTTGTAGTTTGAGAAACTAGCCTGATGCTCGCAATACATCTCATCATTTTTTTTTTAACTTCGGACTTTCTAAAGTTTCCACAATTTTCCTAACGATCATGAAACTTCCCTAAAGTGTTAAAAATTAACTGAATTTCTCGAAACTTTTTTTTAATTTATGTAATTTCCCTGCCCTGGAATATCTCTGCGCTGAGGATATCCGTTCTTTCTTGAAGTTTTTTTTTAGTTTAGAGCTATATTAGTGAGATCAATATCTTTCTCGAAGTTCTCGAAACTGCTCTAAAGTGTTTGCAGTTCTCATGAAGCTTGTTGTACTACCATGAATTTAATTGAACTGTTCTAAAATTGTTTAAGCTTGCGTGAACGTTTGGACACATGTGAAAACCTCAATAATTTTCTTAACATCTCTAAAGTTATCTGAAAATCTGGGAACTTCTTGAAATTTCCCGCTTATTAAGTAAAACTAATTAAGCAGAACTCCCTGAAATTCCCTTTGTTTTTGGAGCTTTACTAAGCTTATTTGAGATACTCCCGAAATGTCCATAAAAGTTCCTGAAGTTCTCGGATCTTCCCTTAAGTTCCATAGACTTTTATGAAGTTCTTGAAATTTTTTTGAAGGTCTCTGTACTTCTGTGAAATTTTCGAAGTTATTCTGAAATTTCAGGAACTTCTTTAGGTTTCCACTCCGCAGCGAAATAATTAATATATGATTTTCACTGAAGTTCTCGAGATTTGTCTGAAGTTTAAATTATCGAAACTAATTCATAACTTTTTCAATAATCTAGAGTTTCCTGATGCTTTTAAAACTACTTGAAATATTTCTCTATTTCCTTAAAATTCTCTAGACTGCCCTGCCTTAGTATTTTTTAAAAGAAGCCACCATTTTACTGGAATTGATTTAATTGCCTCTGGAATTTCTTGAAAATATCGGTGCTTGCTAAAAGTTCTAGCTTTTTTTTTCGTTAATGGAACTTCGTTGATGTTCTCTAATCAACTTAGCTAAATTAAAAAAAAATCTATAGATCTTGAAATTTCCATGATAAAACACCCTTGAAATACTCTTACATTTTCCGGATGTTCATATAATTTTTATAGCGTTCCAGAAATTTTCTCTGAGCAAACCGGAAATTCCGCTTTCTGCAATTTCCTTGAAATTTTTTGAACTACCGTTTAATTCTCTGATCTGTCTCTCTCTGATGTTCTCGGAGCTTCCCTAAAACTCTAAACTAATGAAGATCTCAGTTCTGCTTTAAAATAAATGGAATTCTAGTAAAAACCTTTAAGCTTCCCTGGAATTCTCTGGATTTCTGTGAAATTCCTGAAATATTTCTGAAGTTGTTATTAATTTTCTGAAAGTATGAAAATACTGAATCTCTCGGAACATCTTAAGGGTTCTCGATTTTATTTCAGCACCTCATGGAACTATCTTGAATTTGTCTAAACTCACGCTTATAGATTTTTAAACCAATTCAATAGTCTTGGCTAAAGTTTCGATGACTTCCCCTTAAGATCTCTGGAATTCCCCAAAGATCTCAAGATCTAGCTTTTCTGAGATCATTAAAGTTTCCACATTTTTGATAGTACGAAACGTCAATACATAAAACATGCTGTGATCTTAGACTCACTAAAATGATGTAAGTGATCAACTTCAACATTTAATGGATTTGAGCTGAAGCTGTTTCTTTAAAACTGATTGTCATGTCTTAAAAACGTTTGCGTTAAAAACATATTTTTAACGCATTTCATAAAAAGCATTCTTATTATAAACCTGGAAATTATCTGCCAAAGTTATGGAAAAACCTGGAAAACTCAGGGAACTTTTTTTTAACCAAATGAGTGGACACCCTGTAGATAGAGAAGAACGATTAAACGTAATAAAAAAAACTCTATACCAGGTCGTCAACTTCGAATTGTTCAAAAATAGAACAAAATATAGGCCTATCCAGAAGATTGATCAATCTTGAAATAAATGCACGTTTAAAAAAGTTTGAAATAGTGACTTATTACAAGAAAAAGTGACTTTAGTGACTTGACCTTAGAAAAGAGACTTTTTTAGTGACTGGCTTGAAAAAAGTGACCAAGTCACTAAAAAGTGACTCGCTACCAGCCCTGCTTGTACGACCGTGTTGCATTTTGATCGATGACGAAACATACGTCAAACTTGATTTTAAGCAGCTTCTCGGTCAAAGTTTTACATCGCGCCGGGAAGATTCAAGTTTGTGTTTGCCGACAAATTCGCGAAGAAGGCCATGATTTGACAAACGATTTGCAGTAGTGGTCTGAAAACGGAACCATTCGTCACATCCTCGACGATGCCATCCCAAGATTACATATCGAAGAATGCCCGAAAAAGCGTATATTGCCGTTCATCCGCAAGCATAGGGGCAAAGTCATCGTTTGGCCCAATTTGGTCAGCTGCCACTACTTTAAGGTGGTCCTGACTGCCAATAAGATCTATTTTGTCCCCAAGCTAATGAATCCCCCGAATTGCCCGGAATTTAGACCAATCGAAAAATACTGGGCAATTTCAAATCAGCGCACTATGGGCAAAAATGGGTCCAAAATTACCCAAAATTCAATAACTCAACAGCACGCTGAATTCCGGCCATGAAAAACGACTTTTCCGAAGGGAAATCGTCCGGGGGATCGATTGCACGTGGTCCCATAGACCGGAGAGCCTTGTAGGTATGTGTTTTGGACCATTTTACCCCATTTTCCCCTACTTTTTGGAGGAAATGTTTTTTCACAGCTCTATTTTTCGTAAAACATAAGCACTTTATGCATGGTTTTAGAATACTATGTCTTTAAACAACAGTTCATGAGATATTAGGGGAGTACGGGGTACACTTTATAGGGGAGTAAGGGGACTTCGACGAAGTGGCGGGGCAGTCAAGGACATCCAGCAAATGCGGTCATAATGGAATGCGCTGATTCCGTGTTCGTTTCCATTGTGCGGACGCTGATGGGCTTATCAAGAGGAAGGTTCGAGATTTCGTTCGAACTGGAGAAATGTAATCATCTAATGTTGTAACTTTGAAGTTTTTTTTTTTTTATTATAGTCACTTTAACACTCTTGGGTCATTCGTGACTTGTCCGGGGTGAGATTTGAACTCGTGACTTTGGCGTGAGAGGTATGGATGTTAACCACTACGCCGGGGTCGCCCCCATTGAAGTTTAAGCAACAATTAATGGACTTTTTAAACTTATTGAATCACGAATTACAGGTATTTTTGTGCGTACCACTTTACTTATAGTCAGCCTTTATCTTA